TAATAAAATTATTGATACCAGACAACATTCTTTATCTATCATAATAATAGAAGGTATCTACCTCACCAGCGATATCATTAATAACATCGCTTTGTTGGTGCTTTTATTCATCATTCTTCTAAGAATATTAACACGTGAAGGGACTCTGAAACTGGAACAAACGCGCGGAGAGTATACTTTTCGCACGTACATCATAAACGGATTTTACTGTTTCTTATCGAAAATCATCGATCAAATGAAATGAAAGGGCGCAGGCAGCGTATGTCGCTAGTGATTGACAATTTTAGAAAAACACCGATAGTTCGATACATCACCAAAAAGTTTTCGATGTTGATGAAAACATCAAGGAACACCGACGTTTAAAATATTGATGTTTTAAGTATGATAAAGTGTTTCAAAATGGAAATGCTCTGGTTCAAATGTGATACTTAACACGTCAATATTAAAGGATGTACTACCTTTAATTTGACTGTCATCTTAATTTTCTAATCAATATTCTATGTTGTCAATGTCGAAAATGTCGTTTAATGATATTGCTACGTACAAAATCATCAAAAAAGGTATCAACACCGGAGAAAGGTTACGAGTAGCAAACTGTTTTGTGCCGCCTGGGAATAGACAATAGTAACAGTTGTCAATGAAGTTTGATTGCGAGCATTCCACAAAACAAAAGATACTGAAAATTTTATTTATATCATGAGCATTTTTGTTTAAACAAATCGACGTTTCTTAACAAGTATATCTATCTTAAGAAAATATCGAAATACATCGTTGTTATAACTCTCGTACCATATATGCTTATTTATATTAAGTACTGTTCTGGAGGTCTTTTTGAACCTCAAGCTCTACTGGCAACTGGAAGAAGAAAACATGAATGTGTACGACAATATACTGAGTGTAAATAATTAATTTTATATAAGGATACCCTTTATACGTTATTTTCAGTAACATAATAATTTTTTTTTTCATATTAAATATTTCATATAAAGAATAATTTCCACCATACGTGGCCTTCATTGTTGATACATAATGCTTCAAAAATATTTAAAGGAGTTTGTAAAAATTATTGTGAAATAAATCTAATATTGACACGTTTTTGTTCGTGACAAGTTCACAACAAGATGTTTTAGATTATAATGGGAAAATCAGACTGCACTTAAAAACCAAACTGGGCACATGTAACGAGAAAAATTAATAAAATTAAAAAATTTAAAAAATTGGCCTGCCCGAAGGCATATTTAAAAGACTGAAAATATCGTGAAAATATTGAGGAAAATACCAAGAAATGTTGGTGGGGTCCAGAAAGACTTCCAGATATGGTGCGAGGGACAATATGAAACCTCGCTGCGGGTTGTGTGCCTGACCTGCACGAAGTAGGCGAGGCGCAGCAGGCGCCCGGCGCGGAAGCCCGGCGGGGCGTCGGGCACGGGCAGCGCGGGCGCCCAGCGCGCCGAGCTCCTCCGCGGCACCGCCCCCAGCGCGCGCCGCGCCAGCGTCACCTCGTCGCGCAGGCGCTCGCGGTACGGCAGCGCCGCCGAGAACTCCGCCACCTGCCGCATGGCGCACGGCGCACCCCCATCACACTATCACTCGCGCCCTTTCTGCAGCACGGCTTAACGCATCGAGTGTCCTCACATCACGCTATCACCATGTCGCTTACACCGTATCACATCGCATCCTAACACTCATACCCTGTCATACCGAGTCTCTTCAAATCAAAATATCACAATGTCGCTTACACCCTATTACATCGTGGCCTGTCATCACAATCTATTACATCACACAATCACTCACACCCTTTTTACAGCACGGCTTATCGCATCGAGTCTCTTCACATCACAATATCACAATGTCGCTTACACCCTATCACATCCCGTCCTGCCATCACAACCTATCACATCACAACCTATCACATCACACTATCACACACAGCGTATCACACTGAGTCTCCTCACATCACAATATCACAATGTCGCTTACACCCTATCACATCCCGTCCTGTCATCACAACCTATCACATTACACAATCACTCACACCCTTTTTACAGCACGTCTTATCACATCGATTCCTGTTACATCGCCTGGCATCACATCGAGTCTCCTCACATCACACTATCGCTTACCATGTCACTTACACCCTATCACATCGCGGCCTGACATCACAACCTATTTCTCATATCCCATCACATCACTATCACGTCGCTCTATTATCGCATCGCTCTACTACCGCGTCGCTCTATTACCGCGTCGCTCTATTATCGCGTGGCTCTATTACCGCGTGGCTCTATTACAGCGTCGCTCTATTACCGCGTCGCTCTATTACCGCGTGGCTCTATTATCACGTCGCTCCCCTATCGCATCGCTTTCTATCACAGTGCATCCTGTCATAACACCATATCACATCGTCTTCTCATCTCGCCTCACACTATTACATCACGTCTTTTCGCAGCACGACCTTCCACATAATAAACTGCTTTCTTTGCAAACCCACACTTGGGAATAATCAATCTTCTCAACTCTAGAAAAAAATTTCGCTGGAGCATCCACACAAACCCACTCACACGTGCCCACACGCACTCTCAAACTCACGAGCAGCCCGGATACGCAAATGCATCCTCATGCATGCATACATTCACACAAAACTAATTCAAAAGAAAGTTCAAGAATATCACATGCGCAAATGGGGGTTTGCGGGGTGTGGGGTTTTGCGTGAGCCTGTAAACGAAAAGTGTGTGTTTGGGTAATTTATATCTAAAATCGTTGTCAATCGCTTTCTAGGAATCCCTCACTTCTGGGGGAGACTTGCAGCAGGTACTCTAGACAGACACCTACCCTGATTCCCTTAAAGCAAATGTCACATCAAAAATAGGGGTCCGGATGAATCTTGTAGAAGGAATTGAGAGTTAAGTATTAAATTTTGATCGAAAATATGTCTATATTTTGAGAAACGGTTGTGGATTCAAATAGTAAAAAATTCCCTGAAAAATATTTTTGTTTTCTTTACATACTCATTTGTAATTGTATGTTGCCGCTTGGAAAGCGACGTAGTTCGTGATCTAATTTGTGGAGAGCAACGCGCAGTTAAACTTGATCGTGTGCGAGCGCGCCGGAGCGGTGTTCAGGGACTTAGCAGAACCCGCACTACGAGACTGCACGCAATAGGCCAATCGATTGGTTGATCGATCGAATGTGTGATTCACCGAAACCCAGAACGAGCCAAAATATAGCTCATGGTCGGTTAAACAATTCGAACCAAGAAAAATTCTAATCACGAACAAATCGAACTACGAATTATCTATTGGAACGTTACTGAAAATGCGCTAATTTGGGCTCATTTTCACAGAGCCTTTTGTGTCTTCGTATACCCTTATAACATAATTTTAAGCACTTGTGCTCACAATGCAATAGCGTATAAAAATCGCCGATATATTGAAATACATTTGTGTATTTTTTTAAATACAACATTATTGCGTTTGTAATCGTATGCACAGAATTTAGCACTATTCGAAGATAAAATTAAAGACAATATTTGGGGACAGTTTTTGAGAAAATTTTGTTTTTAATATTTTTTAATATTGCTGATATTTTACTCACAATTGCTCGAAAAATACAAAAACTTACAAAACATGTACATGATATTAATTCGAAACTAATTGCGGAGCTCAAACTTGAATTCAAAAAAATTCCAATCTTCAATATTATACTTTAAGGAAGTGTATTTTACTATATTCTTACAAGAAATTTAAAGAAAAAAGATTCACCCATTTTTGAGACCAAATCAATATGTCCCAGGAGCTTCATTTAAAGTACCGTCAAAATTTCTGAAATGGTTTTTAAAAATTGCAGAGCTTTGTGTCGGCCCAGATCAACTGGGGAAATTCATTTTGGAAAAAATCCTAAAAATTGTTTCGGCGCTAGAGTTGTTGACGGAGGGACGGACATTTTGCCCAAAATCAATTTTTCATTATCAAGGACCCACAAAATTGAAATCTGACTACACAACGTATTACAGGAAGTAATTTACTACGTTTTCTGCATCAAGTCTCGCAATACGAGTTTTTATGTCGAATAATCGCTTTTTTTGCCGTAGCATTACATAACTTTCTCTACTCTAAAATTATTACTCAATATACACGAGACAGAAAAAAACACTACACGAATCGAAATACGACTGGTTTCTGAAAGGACAGTGAAATATTGAAAGCGAGTCTGAAGAATATCAGTAATTTATACCGAAATCATGCTCTTCCATAAAAGTTGCGTTCGAAGATAAATGAGTATTTGATGGACGTTGACATTACACTGCTTTCAGCCAGCTCTTTGACAGCGGGGCAAGGTCGTAATGTGATGGTTATGGATTTACTGAAGGTGGATATTAATCTTTTATGTTCATAAAAACGCACTTTCACATTGTCTTATTGTTGATATTTGGAAAAGATTTTTTTTTCGACGAAACGAGTACGAGACCGCAGAACTTCATTGGCTGAGCTCAGAGACACCGTTACAGTTGTATCCTTAATGACCTTGAACGGGAAATTCTGGGATTAGAGTCTCGATGGTAGCGAATTTCGTCAGTATCTGCTTAGGTGACTCGCAGTCAGTTGCAGTTGACTGCAGGTGGATTTCAAGCTACCGGCTCCCGTAATCGGTAGTACCTTGGTTTCTGCAAAAAATACCTGAGCAGTGCCGTAACAAAGGGCAAAGGATCGCGTGCGATCTATCAT